AGAGAAGAATGGGGAAATGCATTTATTAAACTATTAAAATTGTATTGTTACTGTGTAATTGTTGGGAAACCAAACAATGTGCCCGTGCTGTGCTCACGTGGTTCGTAACGTAAACAGGTGCTGCGCAGAACGAGTAAAAATCGGTGCGCCAGAGTAGCCCATCCGTAGTTTGGGCATTCCATGATGTTAAAATCGATTATGAAGGCGCTAATATGAATTTCCCGCGTCTCACTAAAAAAAAAATAATTTCCCGCTGGTTGCGCCAAGTCAACCAGTTCGCCGCTGCCTCGCCAGAGTGAAGGGGGAGCTGTCGCCCCCTGGCTGGAACAACGTCAGGGAGTTGCACCCCCGCCCCCCCCTTAGCGGCGGGGAAGGGAACGGAACCTTGCTTGCCACCGGGGTCTTTGCGTGTGGACAGCTGCAAAGTATATTTGGAGCGGCTGTCACTGTGGGGAGGCGTGGCCCTGGTGAAAAAGCACCCCTAAACTACCTGGCCGCCATTGAGGTGTTGCACCAGTGTTATGGAAACCTAATTGCTGTTTCAAATGACATAAAATTAATTTTCCTGTATTTTTTTTTTTTTCAAAAACTACACAATTTTTTTTTTTTAAATATCTCTCACGCCTTTAATGTGCATATTTCTAGCAATTTGTATGCATAATTGTATTTGCGAGTGGAAGTGCTTCAAATGACTTCCCATAAAGTTTTCCGAAAAGGGCCCTTTAATTTTTTAGTCTCGCATAAACGCCATATTCTTAAAATTGGCTCCAAGGTTTTCAACGAAGATTTTCTTATAGGACGAAGTTTTACTCTTCTATAATATTCTTAAAGTAATATTTCGGTTCTACTATTAGGGAACTGAAAAATAGAGACATTTTCAAAAAATGTACATTAGGCGGAGATAGTTGGCTGCTGGAAAGTCCGAAAAGCTAGCCCAGACCAAAGACATTAAAAAAATAGTATGCGAAAGACTGTGCCAATCTGTAGCACTTCTAGTTACTTTCGGCCATTTTGTCAATTTTTCCTTTCTGACCTTTTTTTGCCCCAATTGTCCTTTTTGATCCTTCCAGTCCATATGGTTTTCTTTGTTGCAATCGGAGATTTATCAGAACCCCTGAACATCGTCTCCCTGCTAGTGCTAGTGTTAAAAATTGCACTTTTAGTACACTAGACATGTTCTGAACGAGCCGCATTTATTGGAAGCTGTCTAAAAAAAACATTTTGCTGTATTATTTTGATTTTTTCTAACGTAAATGTATTCGGCAAATGTACTTTCTTTTAAATGTCTCCTACGGTGTTAAAATGCATATTTCCAGCACTTTGTATACATTATTGCAATCATGATTAGAAATGCTTAAAAAGACTTCTAGTGAAGTTGTTTGAAAACTCGTTTCAAAAATCGCAACTTTGTGCCCTTTTTAAGAAAAAAATGTTTAAGAAAATAAAAATTCAGTTTGACACATAATTGCAAAAAATACTCATATTTTCGAAACATTGAACACAACATTGTTTAAAGAGGTTTTTGATGAACACATTTCATTATGAAAAAACAATTATAGGTAATACCACAAGTGCTTTGGAAATTGTTGATAAATCCCCGCTCGCAAAGCAAGGAGGATATTTATTTGACTATTCCACTCATCAAATTGAGACCAATAATGTTTAATACATAGGACATTGACAAATCAGAGCAGTGATTCTCAGAACAATTATCAGTTTTTCTTGTCATCTGCACAGTGCTCAATCATTAATTGCAATTCATCCATCTTAGGAGGTAGTATGTATCAATCTCTGTTTTTATTTACATCTAAGCATACTTTTCCATTGTATTATTCAAACTGTGTACGAAATGGCGAAACAATTTGGTGACGTATCCGAACAAGAAATACGTGTTTAAGAGCACTCTTGGTGTTCAAGAGCAAGAACTTGAAAACTAACTGGACATATTTGTATGAACACTTCCTCTCTCAAAGAACCTCCAAATACATCAAGGCATCATATATCCGATACAAACAAGTTAAGAGATACACGATATGCTAGTGCAACTAATACATTAAATAATGAAAATAGCAATGTTCCTACAACATTCAATGTTGATGGTTGTGTATAAGTAATTCATCGAATAAATCCATAAATTCCGTGTTTTCGGTGCATGCATTGTCTATTTGTTCATATTTGTACTGAATTAATCCTTACTTGTAGAGTTTAACTTCCTTGATATTGACATTGCAGACGGCCTTGCATAAATAAAGAATACAAGTAGCAACGTAGTAATTGAAATCATTCAAAATGTGAACATAACAGATATGTAAACGTAACGAGTATGAATGAACCAGCTTCCCAAATTCAAATTTCATTAATAATATCGCTCGTGCTTTGGAAATTCTCGGATAAATCCCCTCCTCGCTTCGCGAATCAGAGATTTATCGATAATTTAAGTCAAAGTAAACGTGGTATTACTTATGAGAATTTCTAAAGCATTTATATTTAATAGGACTACGAGTATTTCACGAATGAAATTATGTCCAACAGAGTTCCAAACTACACCAAATATTGAAAAGAATTCAAAGCATGTTAAAATCAAAGAGGGTATGTTATAGCACATACATGGTTTATTGCACATCAATCGATACATACCGCCTCCTAAGCTAGACAAGTCACAGCTATTATTGGCGAGAATGGGG